TCTTGCAGTCGGCTCACATCCTATTTTCACCATGACACTTGCCATCAGATTTCAAAATCCATATACTGTGGACCTAAGATAATTTTAGTATCACTTTTTTTCAATATATTTATTTCCAGTAAGTTTCTGTGTTCCACAGCATAGTGCTCAGATACCTGATACCTACCCACCTTGATTTGGGTAAAAAACACTAACTTATTTTAATTCTGTTTCCCCGAATGCCTTTTCACATCTTCATTGCTTTTCCTCCCTCCTTCTTTATTGCCTAGGAAATTAAATACTTACTGAATAAGTTGATTTTATTTCAGTGGTCTCTCACTGGTATCCTTAAAGGCTCTTTCTACATCTTTAATCCTTGCCTTTATAAAAGTCCTATGAGTTGGGGCACCTGGGTGGTACAGTCAATTAAGCATCCGACTCTCGGTTTCCACTCTGGTCACTCAGGTTTTGGTCTCCAGTTGTGGGGTCAAGCCTTGTATTGGGCTCTGCACTCAGTGCAGTCTGCTTGGGATTCTCTCACCTTCTCCCCGTGCACATCTCCCTGACCACTTCCACGTCTGTGCATTCTCTCTCTCTTAGAAAAAGTCCTGGGCGCCTGGGTGGCTCAGTGGGTTAAGCCGCTGCCTTCGGCTGGGGTCATGATCTCAGGGCCCTGGGATCGAGTCCCGCATCAGGCTCTCTGCTCAGCAGGGAGCCTGCTCCCTCCTCTCTCTCTGCCTGCCTCCCTGTCTACTTGTGATCTCTCTGTCAAATAAATAAATAAAATCTTAAAAAAAAAAAAAAAGAAAAAAAAGAAAAAGTCCTGTAAACTATAATAATCTGATCCATTCTCAAGTGTGGTTTTCTTGTGAAAAAAATGGCTTTTTTTTTTTTCAAAAAGAAAAAATGAATGGCTTTCAAATATACTTTTTCAGCCCACTTCTCCCACTTGAACTCTAGTGTATATTGATCTGCCTACAGCAATACAACAATCAGTTGTGTCATCCTTTCAATTATTGATTTATCAGAAATAATAGTCATTGTCTTTACCTTATCCTTATTTCTTTCTATTTCCTTTTTTCCCCATAGTCAGCCCCTTCTAGTATCAGGTTGCTTCCATCATCTTTGCTATACTTTTTTTTTTAAAGATTTTATTTATTTATTTGACACAGAGAGAGATCACAAGTAGGCAGAGAGGCAGGCAGAGAGAGAGGAGGAAGTAGGCTCCCTGCTGAGCAGAGAGCCCAATGCGGGTCTTGATCCCAGGACCCTGGGATCATGACCCAAGCCAAAGGCAGAGGCTTTAACCAACTGAGCCACCCAGGTGCCCTCATCTTTGCTATACTTAATGATCTCTCCACAATTTATGTTATTTCACTCTGAAATATCTTTACATCTACTCTCATATTCTCATTTGCTACCGACCTCTTCCAAAATGAGAGCATATTATTTCAGTAACTGCTGTAATTACTATTTGGATTTGCCATGGTTTTTACCTATTCCATTTATACTATCAGTATACCAAAAAGATATCACTTATTATATAAAATTTAAGTTCCTTCTGACAGAAAAATTCCCCATCTGATCATTTCCAAATTTATTTCTCTCTGTGACTGAGAATTCTATTCATCTCTCTTTGTTCTAGTCTCCCAGGTGTATTCCATACAATTGATTTTATTCATCACAACTGGACCTTTCTCTGTGTGATAGCTGCTACATACCCATGTAGACACTTGCAAAGTTAGCCGACTACAACTTAGAGGGTACAGTAGTATACACAAGACTACCCTCACTTCTGACGCCAACTGTAATTTCAGGAGTCCCCAAGCCTAGCATGAATATCAACACTATGCTAATAAGGACTCAGGGAACTTGCTGAAAGCTATAATGCAGTTATGGTTTATTACAGAAGAAAAAATACGGATTAGAATCAGCTAAACACAAAGGGCAGAGTCCAGGAAGGTACCAAACATGAAGCTTCTAGTTAACCTCTCTCTATGGAATCATGGACAGCATTACCTTGCTAGTGTGACAATACCTACAGAATATTGCCAACCAGGAAGCATCCCCTGAGCCCATTGTCCAGAGTTTATATTGGGGCTCCATGACTAGGCATGATTAACTGTACATGTAGCCAATCTCAGTTTTCAGCCCCTTGAGAGGTCAAGCTGATACTGTGTGACCCAAAGCACCCACCCTAAATCACACTGTTGGTGTGGGTCAAAGACCTCCCTAAATTACATTGTGATTTTCTGGCTGGCCAAAAGCTCCCAGGCAAACAAATATATATTCCAAGGGCTTAGTGATTACTTCCCAGAAGCCAAAGGCAAATGTCAGATGTCTCTTTGCGCAAGGCTATATTCTTTACTATACAATACTACATATCATTTAGTTAAAAGATCAAGTTTCGCTTCCTCCGTGAAATGTTCCTTGACTACTCCAGGCCATGTCAATTCCTTTTTTGCTGCATTCATATTCTACTCATATCTGAAAATTATGAATAGATGCATCCTCTGTTATGATCAAACTTCTTTCCCCATCTAGTTAACATTTCCCCCAAATAAGGTTCTCTCTTTTACTTTTTCTTACTGTAGTAATAGAGGCTAGATATTCAATAGTTACCTCTCTCTTGTTTTTAAGATTTTATTTATTTATTTGACAGACAGAGAGACAGTGAGAGAGGAAACATAAGCAGAAGGAGTGCGAGAGGGAGAAGCAGGCTTCCCACTGAGCAGGGAGCCTCATGTAGGGCTCGATCCCAGGACCCTAGGATCATGAGCTGAGCTGAAGGCAGACGCTTAATGACTGAGCCACCCAGGTGCCACAGTTACCTCTCTTGATGCTATGCAAGGAAAACATCTTTCTCATCCATTCAGAAATCATTTAATCATAAGTTCTTTTTTTTTTTTTTTAAGATTTTATTTATTTATTTGACAGACAGAGATCACAAGTAGGCAGAGAGGCAGGCAGAGAGAGAGAGGAAGAAGCAGGCTCCCTGCCAAGCAGAGAGCCTGATGCGGGGCTCGATCCCAGGACCCTGGGATCATGACCTGAGCTGAAGGCAGAGGCTTTAACCCACTGAGCCACCCAGGCGCCCCTAATCATAAGTTCTTTTAAATATACATGCCAAGATCATATTCCTTTATCTCAGATAACTGTGTGTTAATGTATACTCAGAAGATAGTCAATAATATGTTGACATCCAAGAGCTTAACTTTTAGTTGGGAAGGCAATATTATCAAATGAGCATTCTACATATAATATTCATACTAAAATAGATTGGTTTTTTTTTTAAGTTTTTTTTTTTAAGATTTTATTTATTTATTTGACAGAGAGAGATCACAAGTAGGCAGAGAGGCAGGCAGAGAGAGAGGAGGAAGCAGGCTCCCTGCTGAGCAGAGAGCCCGATGCGGGACTCGATCCCAGGACCCTGAGATCATGACCTGAGCTGAAGGCAGAGGCTTTAACCCACTGAGCCACCCAGGCGCCCCTAAAATAGATTGTTGAAAGAGTTCTTGAAATGGATGGTCCAGGCTATAATTATAATCTAATTTCAGATAAATTGTATACATTAAAGGATACAAATAATATATGAAGGCTTTTGGATAAATGAATAGTAGAATGTCTCTGAAGGTGGTTGTGGATCTTAGAAAGATGATTTAACTCTAGTTACTAATACAGATTACTTTTAGTGTATTCTAGAACTGCACATAAATGAAAGCTTTATGCAAAAGAGTATATATTATATAGTTGTATAATATATACTCTTTTGCATAAAGCTTTCACTCTGAAAAATGAGATTCATCTCTTTCCACTGTGTATCAGATTTTTTTTTTATTGGTGAGTAGTATTGTATTGTATATATACATGACACAGTATTACCATTTACCTTTTGATGAATACTTGGGCAGTTACCAGTTAAGGGCTATTGTAAATAAGACACAAGTCAATTGTACTTGTGGATTCATCAATCCGTATTTAAAATTCATCAATATGGATTGATGGATTCATCAATCCGTATTTAAAATTACCCTACTAGACTTGGGTGGTGATAAGGTAACAATAATCAGATATAGCCAAAAATTATAAGAAAAATAATAGAGTTTAAAAAAAGAAAGAAAAATAACAGAATCAATTAGTGCTGTAAGCATATGGTTGAGGAATCTAGGCTTTCACATCCCCCGTAGGGAATAATGGAGTTAAGTTATGTTACTGCATTGGGAGGAAAATGTAAACCCATCATTCCTGAAAATTGAAAGAGTAATTCAGCACATAAAAGGAGGAAAAGTTAGAATTGATGGTCAGGAGAATTTAGTTACTGACCATTTCTGGAAGAAAAAATTGATGGTAACAGCAGTCAGAATACAACAGTGATTATATTCATGTTTTAAGTATACTTTGTTCTCTGGTTTATTTTACAATTCCTAATGGAAGGAGGTTTCTCAAAGTCTTCCCTTTCAGGAGAAAATAAGTTGTGTGGAGAGTTAGGGCCTAGGCTATAAACAGTGTTTCTCTCAACACTAGGAAATGAGTGCTTGAGAAAGTTCATTTGCCATGGATGGGATACATGCAAGTGAGGAAGAAACAAGTGGAAGTATTTTATAACACATATTTAGGCATGAGGGAATAATATTTAGGCTTTCATTTCTACCTGAACATTTTCCTTGCTTACTGGTTAGTACCCTTAATAAGCTCATTCCCTTATTTCTGAATCTGCCCATTCCAAGAACAATCCCACTTTCATCATCCTTTGTCTTCTGTTTACTTGTCCTTGTGTTTATTATACCTGCTCAAGGTAGCTTATATTAACAATATGCCAAAGGTATGAGTGTTCTTTTCTTATGCCATTTTTTCCTCATTTTAACTGTGTAGCAGGCTTTGTGTTTTTATCATATGAATTTTCCCTACCAAGAGGTAATTTATTTTGGCCTTTGTGTAGATCAAGATAGTGAGGCAGACAGTTGCACAATGGGTTGTTTGTATATACATCCAATCCATAACATTTATGTGAAAACTTACAGTGTTGTTATTCTCTTCTAGAAGAAGATGGAAAAGCTGAAGATGCTTTAGTGAAGTTCAAAGAATACCAAGACAGGCACTCTCGATCAGTCATATTCATCAACCACAAAAGATTAATTAAGGAAAGAAGTAATATTTTTGGGAAAACGTTACCTGTAGGCAAGAACCGTATTATGTCAAAAACAATACTACGTGAATATAAGCCTGATGGAAAGGTTTTAAAAAATATTTCGGAATTAGTCAGTAGAAATATAAGCCCTGTAAGAGAGAAGTTTGCTGAGAGTAATGGATGGGAGAAATCATTCCTCAATACTAAAAATGAGAAAATTCATACTACAGTGAATCTCTGTAAACAAACAGAAAGGAGTCTGAGTGGTAAACAAGAGCTTATTCAACATCAGAAGACTCAAACTCCTGAGCAATCTTTAGATCATAATGAATGTGAAAAATCCTTCCTTATGAAAGGAATGTTATTTACACATACTAGAGCTCACAGAGGAGAAAAACCCTATGAATACAATAAAGATGGAATAGCCTTAATTGAAAAGTCAAATCTCAATGCCCATTCACAAACTCTTATTGAGAAGAAAACCCATGGATACAGCAAATACGGTAAGTTCCTCTGCAGGAAGTCTATTTTTATCATGCATCAGAGATCTCAAACAGAAGAGAAACCCTTTCAGTGTCCTTATTGTGGAAATAGCTTTAGAAGGAAGTCATATCTCATTGAACATCAACGAATTCACACCGGTGAGAAACCTTATGTCTGCAATCAATGTGGAAAAGCTTTCCGTCAAAAGACAGCCCTCACTCTTCATGAGAAAACACATATAGAGGGGAAGCCCTACATCTGTATGGATTGTGGGAAGTCCTTCCGCCAGAAGGCAACTCTCACTAGACATCACAAAACACATACAGGGGAGAAAGCCTATGAATGTACTCAGTGTGGAAGTGCTTTTAGAAAGAAGTCATACCTCATTGATCATCAGAGAACTCACACAGGAGAGAAACCATATCAATGTAATGAATGTGGGAAGGCATTTATCCAGAAGACAACCCTCACTGTACATCAGAGAACTCACACAGGAGAGAAACCCTATATATGCAGTGAATGTGGAAAGTCCTTCTGCCAAAAGACAACCCTCACTCTCCATCAAAGAATTCATACTGGGGAAAAACCCTATATTTGTAATGAATGTGGGAAGTCCTTCCGCCAGAAGGCAATCCTCACTGTTCATCAGAGAATACATACAGGAGAGAAATCCAATGGATGTCCTCAGTGTGGGAAAGCCTTTAGTAGGAAATCAAACCTCATTCGCCACCAGAAGACTCACACAGGAGAGAAACCATATGAATGTAAAGAATGTGGGAAGTTCTTCAGTTGTAAGTCAAACCTCATTGTACATCAAAAAACTCACAAGGTAGAAACCATGGGAATTCAGTAAAGGATATGACTTTTTTGGTAAAAACTTTTGAAGTCCTAGTAAACACTGTACATGATGAAGCTTGCAAATATAATATTCAACAGTTTAAGGTACTATTCCACAAATTTACCTATTGTTTGTGAACCTATATAACACACAAAGAATGACTAGACAAATGACAGTAGTCATTGAAAATACAACCCTAAATTTTTTATTATTAATTCAGCAGGCATAAACTTCCTCTGTCAAGTTTCTACAAACATTTAAAATCACTTGTTTTCAATTTCATTACATACCTTGTTGTGACCCAGTAATAAGCAACTGACCAACTAGCAGTGGTCCATGGACCACACTGTGAGTAGAAGTGTTTTTAAAAGAAAGGAAGTATGAATGTTCATAAGAGTGGCTTAAAAGAAAGGAAGTATGTATTTCTCATTGCAAATATGAAATAAAAATTAGCTATTACCTCCTCAAAATTTACCACAGTTCTGACTTCTAACAGAAATTAGGTTTTGCCTATTATGAACCTTTATATAAATTGGATTATACATCATGTATTCTTTTATATATGGCTTGTTTCATTCATCATTATGTTTGTAAAACCAATTTAAATCATTAGTGCATGCAGCAGAAGTTCATTTATTTCTATTCTATATTGAATTCCATCATATGATTAAATTACAGTTTATCCAATCTACTGCTGATGGACTTTTTCATTGTTTACAGCTTAGGGTCATAATAAATAATGCTTCTGTGAACGTACTTATCATTTGGTGTACGTGCATTCACTTCTCTTGTGTATACACTAGGAATGGAATTGCTGGGTCCTGGAGCATATGTATGTTTGGTCAGCTCTGGTAGATACTACCAAACAACTCAGAACTTTCACAGCATGATATAATTCACTCTGAAGAAAAACAGCTGAATATTAGTGATATGGTGATGATTCCAACCAGACAGTTCATGCTAGAGGGAAACTCTACAAATATGAAAACTGAGAATCCAATTATAATGTATATACAAAGGCTTTTAGCCACAGCCCAAACTGTAATATAATTCCAAACAAATGTAATAAATGTGAGGTTGTCTCTAGCCACAAAAACTGCCATACTTGAAATCCAAAAGTCATATTAAGGAAAGGAAGGCTCCTAGCATGCTTCCTTGCATTAGAGAGTTCTAACTGGAGAAAAATCCTACAAGTATAGTAAAGGAACAGGGGGTAATAGCATTTACCTATGGCCTATATCTTGCTGGATGTATAAAAATGATGAATATGGAAAAGCTTATGGTCATAGTTCAAATCATACACAACACCATGGAATTCACATTGGATCGGAACTCTTTATTTTTTTTTTACTTTTTTTTATAATTTTATTTTTTATAAACATATAGGATCGGAACTCTTTAAATGAAATTATCATAAGGGGTGCCTGGGTGGCTCAGTCAGTTGAGCTTAGGCCATGGTCTCACGGTCGTGAGATCAAGCCCCACATCAGGCTCCATCCTCAGAAGCCTGCTTGGAATTTCTCTCTCCCTCTCCCTCAAACCTTCCCCACAACCCCCTATACACGTGCTCTCTTAAAAAAAAAAAAAAAAAAAAAAAAAAAAAACTGGGACGCCTGGGTGGCTCAGTTGGTTAAGCAGCTGCCTTTGGCTCAGGTCACGATCCCAGCGTCCTGGGATCGAGTCCCGCATCGGGCTCCTTGCTCAGCAGGGAGCCTGCTTCTCCCTCTGCCTCTGCCTGCCATTCTGTCTGCCTGTGCTTGCTTGCTCTCTCTCTCTCTCTCTCTCTGACAAATAAATAAAATCTTTAAAAAAAAACATCATAAGAATGACTTTAGCCATAGCTCATTCCTTATACAACATCAAAAAAATTATGCTAGGGGCGCCTGGGTGGCTCAGTGGGTTAAGCCGCTGCCTTCGGCTCAGGTCATGATCTCAGGGTCCTGGGATCGAGTCCCGCATCGGGCTCTCTGCTCAGCGGGGAGCCTGCTTCCCACTCTCTCTCTCTCTCTCTGCCTGCCTCTCTGTCTACTTGTGATCTCTCTGTGTCAAATCAATAAATAAAATCTTTAAAAAAAAAAAAAATTATGCTAAAAAAGGGAAGTTTTAAAAAGGGAATGGATGTCGCTTGGAACTCTAACTTGGGGAAAGCTGCTTCTAGGAAGAAGTCTGACCATACTGATATTATAATGCTAGAGTCTACATGTAGGCACCTGGGTAATAGCCCCAGCTAAGCTCCCAGCCATCATCCAGTACCATCTGTCAACTAAATGAATGAGCCACCTGGGACACCTAATCAAGTCTTCAGATGACTGTAGCCCTTTCTAACACTCAACTGGAACCATCTGAAAGACCCCAAGCAAGAACTGCTCAGCTAAAGCCTTCTTAGACTCCTGAACCACTAAATGGTTACATTTTAAAAATTAAATTGGATTGATTAAAAGAAAGGGAAAATAATCTCTGAGTATCTATATTATAAAATAATGGTATGATTTGGATTCAGAGTCAATGAGAAAGTGTGGTGACTACTAGGAGATACTTGGCATGAAAAGAAAAATGATCCTAAAACACAGTTGAAGATCGGATGTAGTTTTTGTTTGCAATTACATACATAAAGAACAACTCAATGAAGGGTTTGTATGCTATTTTCGTTCTCATTTTTTGGTAGTAAATTATATTTATCAACTTGGTTAGCTTAGCTATGAAAATGCATTCTTCACAATTTTACAAAAAACAAAAACAGCCCCAAAAGACCTACTGGATAATGCAGAGGGAAACAAGCCTATCTTTGAAAGATCCTATGCAGGGTCATTTCCCTGATGTTCCATGAACTAAGATGCAGAGAAAAATCAAGATATGGAGATAGGGGAGCGCCTACGTGGCTCAATTGATTAGGTGTGTCTGCCTTTGACTCAGGTCATGAGCCCAGGGTCCTGGGATCAAGTCCCACATGTGGGTGAGGAGTGTCCTTGCTCAGCAGGGAGCCTGCTTCTCCCTCTTCCTCTCCCTCTCCCTACTCCTCTCCCTGCTCATGCTGTCAAATAAATAAAATCCTTCTAAAGAAGAAAGGGAGATAAGTACAGCCATGTCCTTATAGAAGATACTTTGAATGCTTTGAAGTCTAAATGAATTTTTGCTAACAGTTGTTCACATATAAGCTGCTTCTTAGGAAAAGCAGGCCCAATATTTTGTTTTGATGTGATTGGGCTATGGATTGGGCTATATTCCATACTCCTGTATGAAGGTTTCTTTTGAAGAATTTGGGCATGTTCTTTTTCATTAATTTATATGAATACTTTATGAATGGATAAATATATGAAATGAGGACTTTCAACTCACTGATCTATTGGTAAATGAAGTTTGGGCATCTCTAAGGAGTGTACATGATTTTGGATTGCCAAGTCCACTTATTACTACCAAACATACATAACAGACTAGGAATTAATTCACAAATTCATATTTTATACACCTAACTGAAGGTCATGAGACAAAAGAGAGTTAACATGTGCAAAGATTCCATCAGTCCAAAGGACTGACAAGACTCCATAGAGCATATCTATGTAATGCTTTCATTTAAAAGCAAAAGGGGGGGGGGCGCTTGGGTGGCTCAGTGGTTAAAGCCTCTGCCTTCGGCTCGGGTCATGGTCCCAGGGTCCTGGGATCGAGCCCCGCATCGGGCTCTCTGCTCGGCGGGGAGCCTGCTTCCTCCTCTCTCTCTCTGCCTGCATCTCTACCTACTTGTGATCTCTGTCAAATAAATAAATAAAATCTTAAAAAAAAAATTTTAAAAGCAAAAGGGAGGGTACCTGGGTGACTCAGTTAAGCATCTGACTCATGATCTCAGCTCACATCTTGATCTCAGGGTCGGGAGTTCAAGCCCCACACTGTGGAGCCTACTTAAAAAAATAAGTAAATAGAACCAAAGGATGTGGCTCACTAAGAGAAAAGGTAGGTAAGCAATTAGGGAGTCAGAATTATTCAGGTGCAAGCTCCTCAGTGTCCTTATTCACATGCAGACTGCAATTTATCTCCAGGTTGAACCACTAAGATCGATGTGAATCTTTACTTTGGGAGAGCTCAAGGCAGAAGTTCCCTGCAAGGGCATTTATGCTCCTCTGTTCACTCATTACATAGTCAAGCTAGGCTATCCAGTCGGTTACTTCATAAATGGGCTCTGGGGGCCTACAGGGGAACTTTAGACTTTAAAGAGTGCCACACATATCTCTGCCCTTATCTCAATCCAGGGCCAATGCCAGACATCCAAGCATCATGAACATAATATAATGTTAGAGCTTTTCCTACTAAATACTGTTAACTTTTCTCCTATCCTTCTCCAAATGAAACTGTGGCCATTTACCAAGGTAGCTGCATCCAGGAAAAAGAAATAATCATACTTTTTAGGAATTACTGTCACTGTGGTCCATCAGTTGTAGTCAGGGCTTATGGAGGTCAGGTGATCAATGGAATTTTAGCTCAAGGCTCCTTCACAGTGAGCCCATTGGTTTCCCAGCCCGTCTTATTTCCCCAGTTCCAAGTGCATAGTTGGAATAGATATACTTGGCAACTAACAGAACCCCATATTAGTTCTCTGACGTATGGGGTGAGGGTTATTATGGTGGGGAAGGCCAACTGGAAGCCTTTGTAGGAGAACTGTCTCTACCCATATTAAAAGTAATACCACAATCCTGTACGTATTGCAGATATTTGTGACACCGACTTGAATGATGAGTGGTGGTTTCCAACATATCTCGTTCCAGTCACTTATTTGGCTTATGCAGGAAACAGATGGATCTTAAATGATTATCGTAAATTTAATCAGGTGGTAATCCTAATTGCATTCCAGATGTGGTTTTGTTGCTTGAGAAAATTAACACATCCTCTGGTATGTGCCATAAAACTACTGACCTGGAAAAAAATTTTTCTAGATATCTTTTAGTAAAGACCACCAGAAATACTGTGTTTTCAGGCCAGCATTACACCTTCACTGTTCTAACTCAGGCGCTGTGTTCATCTGGGCTCTCCAGAGAAACAGAACCACTTAGGGATTTATACACACATATACATATCTGTGTGTCTGCGTGTGTGTGTACACGCACAAACCCCTAAGTGGTACACACAGATACACGTGTGTGCATACATGTGTTGTATATACATGCATATATGTGTGTGACATATATGTACATACACACACACAAAGAAACAGAAGGCAGACAAAAAGAGATTTATTTAAAGAATTGGATGTTGGGGCACCTGGGTGGCTTCATCAGTTAAGCGTTTGCCTTCAGCTCAGTTCATGATCCTAGAGTCCTGGGATCAAGACCCACACTGGGCTCCCTGCCTGCTTCTCCTTCTCCCTCTGTCCTCTCCCCACTCGTTCTCTCTCTCTCTCTCTCTCTCTCAAAATCTTTTCAAAGAAGAAAAGAATCGGATCATGCAATTGTGGAAGCTGGCAAGTCAAAAATCTGCAGGATAGACATGCAGGCTGGAAAACCAGATAAGAATTAATGCTTGGGACGCCTGGGTGGCTCAGTTGGTTAAGCGGCTGCCTTCGGCTCAGGTCATGATCCCAGCATCCTGGGATCAAGTCCCACATCGGGC